ATGGGGGGAAAAAGGAGACTCATGTAATACTTCAAACAATAAAGAATTTTTTAAAAAAATATCTTGGTTTGTGCTCTAGAATCAAGAATTTAAGTACATTAGCATGAAAGCTTCTGCATTTCATGTACTAAATTAAATAGAATATAAACTTGAAAAATGTAATAATAATATTGAATGTACACTATAATTGCAAAAAAATAATATATTAAGAAAGACAAAAAAATGTTAAACTGTTAAAAGGAAGACCAATTACCAATTGGACTATTTTTTGCTCAGTAAGGGCAAAGATAAAATGTAATCATTTCATTTCATTATTATTTATGAAAATATTTTTATCTAATAGAGCAGGAACATGTTAAAAAGTAATCTATGTCATAGCCTCTCATCCCTCCCTAATTTTATTAAGATATAAGGCTTGGACTGTAAAAGCTTTGTGGCCCCAAACAAAAAGACACTAACATATTGGTTTTGGTGAATCCTCTTTTAATGAAATCTTCACAAACCTGTGTGTGTGAGAGAGAGAGAGAGAGTGAGAGAGAGAGAGAGAGAGAGAGAGAGAGAGAGAGAGAGAGAGAAACGGCCAATGGCCTGCTGAAGGGAGAAACCTCACTGTAAGGAAGGGATCAGAGAAGGTTGGGAGGGCCGTGTGCCAGCCCTCCTTCAAGCAGCCCCGCCAGGAAGGACAAGCACTGGTCGGGGGTGAGGAACCGCTCATCGGGGCCACAAACAGGGGCCTGGGCTCTTCTCTAGAACCCTCTGGACCCCTCTTATATGACTCAAGAGGCAAAGTCCACCTCAGCCCGAAAACCACACCTCAGGGCTGTTACTCTGAGAACTAGACTTCTTTGTAGCCTAAGTCCATCACTGTGGGATTCTTCTAAGAGCACCTTCTTGCCCAGACACACGACTATATAAAGAAACCCTTACCCTAACTCCTTAGTCTCTTTTATTTCCATCCGATATTATTTATTGTCTACTTTCTAGTTTTCTCTCTACTGCTCCATGAAAGCAGAGACCAAGCCTGTCTTGTTCTGTGTCCCTGAGCCCTAACTTGGGGCCTGCCATATAGTACAGGGTGGGGCCAAAGTGGGTTTACAGTTGTTCATATGGAAAATAATACATCCCTGACCAGGGTTGCTCAGTGGTTGAGCATCAACCCATGAACCAGGTCAGGGTTCAATTCCCAGTCAGGGCACATGGCCAGCTTGCAGGCTCAATCCCCAGTGGAGGGCATGCAGGAGGCAACCAATCAATGCTCCTCTCTCATCATTGTTGTTTCTCTCTCTCCCTCTCCCTTCCTCTCTCTGAAATCAGTAAAAATATTTTTTAAAAAGAAAATCCTATATAAGGCTAATATGCAAATTGTCCCCGAGGGAGTTCAATCGACTAGGAATTCCCCACTTGCTATGATGTGTGCTGACCACCAGGGGGTGGGGCAGAACAAAGGCAGGCCCCTGCTGGCAGCTGGCTGCTGGCAGCCGGGGGAAGGAAGGCCCCTATCAGCCCTAATCACTGGCCAGGCCTAGGGACCCTACCCATGCACAAATTTCGTGCACCAGGCCTCTAGGAATACAATAATTCATCAATAATCATACAAGAAAAAACTCTGTGTTTTGCCTATTCACAACTGTAAACCTACTTTTTCCCATGCCTGTACATGCTCAATAAATGGTGTTAAATGAGTGATCATGAGTGGCATGTGAGGAAAGAACGAAACAGTTTTTACAAGTACAGAGGGAGACTGAAGTGATGTTACTTTGACTAATAAGAGAAGCAACTGTATGTTGTATCTCAAGCTAGTAAAGTGGTATTATTTTCGTGCATTAATTTTTAAAAAGCACCAGTGCAGCCCTAGCTGCTTTGGCTCAGTGGAGAGAGTGTTGGCCTGAGGACTGAAGGGTCCCGGGTTCAATTCCAGTCAAGGGCACGTACCTTGGTTACAGGCTCAGCCCCTGCGTGTGGGAGAAAACACATGGATCTTTCTCTGTCTCTCCCCCTCCCTTCCATTCTCCCTAAAAATCAATGGAAAAACAACCTCGGGTGAGGATTAACAACAGCAACAATAAGCACCAGCGGGTAAATAAGCAGAGACATCCAGCAGGTGTGAGGAGAAAGGAATTTCTTTGCCGAGTAAGCATCACTGTTTTACATGGTTTCCCAGCATCGTGTGACCAAATGATGTTGCTGAACTCTTTCCAGCCCAGGAGGCCTGATTCATATTCATTCTCATTCTCTCTCTCGCTCTCTCTTCATACATACGATTGCCCAGCCTATACCATTTTCTCCCAAGCATATAGAAAATACTTTAAAGGACAAAAGGAAATCAAAACTCCCTTCTCCCTCCCTCTCACCTTTACAACCCACATTTCCCTCTGACCATCTCCCAGGCCCTCTGGAGACCCCAGCAGAGCCATGGAGAGAGAACAAAGGCAGAAAGCTTTCCTTCAGAGCTCTAGTCGAGGCTCTGAGCAGCCTCCACCTTCTTCTCAGGAGTCAGCCAGAGGGGGATGTGGCTCCAGGCATCCAGGCAGAGCTTCCGGGGGTCAGGGATTCCCCCCTCCCCGGCCCTCTGACCACCTCCCAGGCCCTCTGACCACCTCCCAGGCCCTCTGACCATCCCCCAGGCCCTCTGACCATCCCCCAGGCCCTCTGACCACCTCCCAGCAGAGCCATGGAGAGAGAACAAAGGCAGAAAGCTTTCCTTCAGAGCTCTAGTCGAGGCTCTGAGCAGCCTCCACCTTCTTCTCAGGGGTCAGCCGGAGGGGGACATGGCTCCAGGCAGAGCTTGATAGTCGAGGCTCTGAGCAGCCTCCACCTTCTTCTCAGGAGTCAGCCAGAGGGGGATGTGGCTCCAGGCATCCAGGCAGAGCTTCCGGGGGTCAGGGATTCCCCCCTCCCCGGGCAGCTCACACCCGCTGGTCAGGGAGGCCTCCAGAGCTGGGCCGGGGAGGACTCCGTCCAGCCCACAGCTCGGTCATCCCAAGCGTTCGTGGGATGAGCCCAGGTGGCTTAAATGTAGGTGAAATCGGAAATATTACTTCTGTAAATGCTCACCGCCGCCAGTGACCAGGTATTAGAAACGGAAGTGTGCAAAGGCTGGGGGATATTCTAAAAGTGAAGGTGGGAGATCGGGGTCCAAACTTCCAGCTTCTGGGGGTAGGGGGGCTGCTGCTAGCACAGTTCCTCAGATTGGGCCCCGTCCACTTTCCTTTTCCTCCCCCTCCCACTAGGCCTTCATCCCAGCCTTGGGGGGAGCATCCCCTCCTGGATAAGCCTCCTTCCAGGAAGGCGGGGCCTCTGCCCCACCCCACGGGCCCGGGCTGGGGAGACCAGTGCTGAAATCTAAAGGTGAAGGTGGGAGATCAGGGTCCAAACTCCCAGCTTCTGGGGGTAGGGGGGCTGCTGCTAGCACAGTTCCTCAGATTGGGCCCCGTCCACTTTCCTTTTCCTCCCCCTCCCACTAGGCCTTCATCCCAGCCTTGGGGGGAGCATCCCCTCCTGGATAAGCCTCCTCCCAGGAAGGCGGGGCCTCTGCCCCACCCCAGCTTGTCTGCCCCAGGCTGGGGAGACCAGTGCTGAATAAGGAGGAACCATCCCAGAGGCCCTGAGACCACACCCTCCAGGTGGCTCCCGCCCCTCTCTGGGCTGGCGTCCTGGTGGTGGCAGGCCCATAGCTACACACACATACCTTGGTCCTGTCCCCAGGCCGGCCTCGGTCTCAGAGCCTCCACGTCGGGCCTGCTCCATTGCGTGGCAGGTGGGAGCAGCTGCTAGTTCCTCTCAGGCAAACAGAATCCCAAAGAGGGTGGTTCGAGGGGCCTCAGGCCCGGAAAACAAGAAAGCAGGGCGGGACCAGCTCTGCAAGGTCTTCCTGATAAACAGCGTTTCCCAGGAGGAAGAGGTACGGAGATGTGGGTTTCGGTTTTGCAGCAACAGAAGCACAAATGCAGGCACAGGGGAAGTTCAAAATTTCCCAGGAGGAAGAGGTACGGAGATGTGGGTTTCGGTTTTGCAGCAACAGAAGCACAAATGCAGGCACAGAGGAAGTTCAGAATTAGTGCCAGGTCACAGGGTGACGCGGCAGGGGCAGGCGGGGCAGGGAGGGACAGCTCGCGCCTCCCAGGGTGCAGCTGCAGAATGCAAGACTGGAGGGCACACGAGAGGGTCTGGGCTTGGGCCCCAGGTGGAGCGGCACAGGGACCCTAGAGAGGGCTCATCAGGCTCAGGGCGAAGCAGGCGATGTGCCACTGAGGACAGAAACAATGGCACCTTTAGGGGCTTCGATGAAGACACTGTTCCCACCACCAGCTCCCCAACCTCTGTCCACCCTGAAGCAGCCTTCCCAGCGCTGGTAACAATCCCTCACCCCTTTTCCGGGAAGGCGTCCCTGAAATCCCTGGCTGGAGCAGCTCAGGCCCTCAGATAAATGCTGCTTCCCAGGCAAAGCATTTCCTCCCCAGCCAGCAGGCGCTTTCCCGTGCCGGACCGTGCATGCTTTGTGAGAGGCCATAGTGTCCCAACGCTTCCTGGGACAGAAAGAGGTTGAACACGGAGCAAGACTTTTTCAAGTTTTATTTCACTACTAGAGGCCCGGTGCACTCGGAGGGGAGTGTCCCTCAGCCCGTACTGCACCCTCTCACAGTCTGGGAGCCCTCAGGGGATGTCTGACTGATGGCTTATGGGGAGCGGGCCTAAGCCATCAGTCGGACATCCTTAGTGCTGCCGCGGAGGTGGGAGAGGCTCCCACCACCACTGCTGCAGCCAGCCATGAGCCTGGCTTCTGGCTGAGCAGCACTCCCCCTGTGGGAGCACACTGTCATAGCGACCAGTCGTTCTGCTGTTCAGTCAATTTGCATATTAGCCTTTTATTATATAGGATGGTAAAAAATAAAAAGTAACCAACACATTAAGTGGACCGTCTTAGCCATTTTTAGGTTCCCAGTTCAGCCGTGTGGAGCACGCTCAC